TCTATTTTTTTTCCTTTTTTGTGTTTTGTTCTTTCTTTTACTAAGTCTAAGAAAACTAATCAATCAACACATCAAACCAGATAAAAATAAAAAATTAACACATTCGAGCAAGAAGTATATATTTATATAAATAAAGTTCGTCTCAACTTTAGAGGGAAAGACCAGACAGTAGTATAAAAAGTACTGTACTGTACAAGTTGAGAACGCATATGTAAAACTTTTCACTAACACCTGTTTTGTTTTTTTGATCAAAGGAAGGTCCAAGTAGCTGTTCGTTATTACTGCAGTTAGCACCAGAGGAATGCTATCCCATTTCGGATACTCGAATTGACGGTATTTGGTCTGCGCCCCTAAAGTGGTAATTGTGATTGAGATTGGTGGCACTTTCCGCTGCTTGGGCAGTTTCTTGCGGCTGATTTCTGGCATAGATGATTAAAAATGCTTTATTGACTTGAGGCGCACAGATGGGTGTGGAGTCTGTAGCGCATTCGTGAATTTCCGCATTATACTCCTCTTTCACGGGGCTGTCATGATCAGATCTTCGAGTCGTAGTCGGAGATTCGATAGCCCTGGATTGGTCGTGGATGCTGTAGGCATTCCTAGTTGTATGAAAACATTGATTGAAGTCATGATGTTATTCAGTTTACATCCCTTCTGTGTACCTGCCGGAAATCGGTGGAGGCAAGGCTATTTTGAAGTTTGGCTCGCCTAAGCAACAAGATTAGCTCTAAGAGGCCTTGTACCACTAGTCGATGACAGTGATAACCTACATGTTTGTCAAAAGCAGGCTACCTCCCTGCACCGTGATAGCGGCACCAAGGAGGCATTTCACGTCATCGTGGCGTTCTATGGAGTGAGGACTTCTAGGATGTAACTTCTTTCTCTTCCTCAATTCGTAGTGACCCAGTAGATACGGAGTATCGTACCTAGATATTTCAAACGTCGAATGCATGCAACCTCGAAGCAAGTTCCATCTTGAACCTTTCTTTCGCATAAAGACATTCCAGCTCTGCAATGTAGTTGAGGATCCAAAGGAACACAATCTCTGATGTATCCGTTTTGTCGAATTCCACCAAAACTGGGCGCTAACCTTTGTATAGCGGATAGCGAAACATGTGCTGTGAAGGAATAAAACGACATCTTTTCGCAGGCGAGCAAAGCGACAAATTTCGAAGATATTCGGAATAAATTAGCTTCCTTAGCGTACTATTGTTTCTCCTTTGCATACAAGCCCAGATGTTCGCAAGGTCAGAATCTGCGATGGAGGGTCTTGTAATTCAAAGGGCTGTAGGATGGAGAATGAGCTCGATTGGCAGCACCAGCGCAGTACTAAAAGCGTAGATTGCGAAAATTGCCGGATCTCCTCAGTTGCCCATCTCATATGGCGACTCAGCTTCCACCTAACAATAAACGTCCAGTCTCAGACCAAAGCTGAGTCCTCAGATGGCACAAAGGAAAGAGCGGATTTGCATGTCAAGATGTCCTCCGGAAAGAACTAGTTCATGGGAAGTATGTTCTGTCAACTGTTACGAGTTAGAAGAGAGATCCAGAGAATAGATGGGACGAAGATTCCTCACATTCAACATCGTAATATTCATCGAAAGTCCTTTCATTGTCTGCGTCTGAGTCTCTGTCTTGCGCAGAGATGGGTATATGCGGGTAGAAGTAGGCCGGGATTTCGGCTTGTGTGAAGTCCATACAAGAAAAGCTCCCTCGAGCTATGTAGGCCAATAACTCATTTCCGCATTACCAAGCTTGCGGCTGGGAAAAAGCACTGGTGCACCATGGTTGAAGCAGGTGGGACAGAAACATCATGCGGCTGATTCTCAGAATTACATATACCCAGGCGTCTGCAACTTGACGTTGGGAGGTGGATAACCTGGGTATGGCGAAATCAGGTCCCAGATGTCTGTTACCAGCTTGAAGGTATTGAACGTATCGAAGTTGGTCACCACCATTCAATATGGAATTGCTCATCCAGACATGATGGGGATGAGCTTGAGATCGTATGCGTTGATACACAGCAGGCAGATGATATGCATGTAGGCTTTCCTTCTCGATGTTTCTGAGGGAGATTCCATGTCAGTAATGAATGTTTCCTCAAGTAAATAAGTGGTTGAAAAAGCAAGGGAGCTAGCGAACTCACGGCCCCGTCGCTTTTCTACCAGTTGTTCAAGTCGACTTCAATCTCAACAGCCGCAATATACGCGTCAAGATCACTGACAACATCGTTAGCCTTAAAAACACCAGGTTCAAAACCAGCAATGGACAAAAACTTATCAGGGATAGAAACGGTCCACTGACACATTATCTCTCGCAATTGCAGTGGGGGATGCAATTCACTCCTATAATTTCCTTCGCAGGGGCATTCTTGACAAGCCATGGGGATATAGACGTAAATTTGGGTATATATATAAGAAATAAAGTTGCAAGTTCTGCAAAGAGCCGGAAGCCCACTCATTAGAACTCGAAGGACCTGAGTGTGTAGTATAGAAGATTGGGACGAGGGTAGGAGACAAAGAGGAGTATTTATATTCTTTAGTTCCCTTGCTTGTGCTGGAGTGAATACCTAGGTAGGTAGTTTCAGTGAATGAATTTCGACGACGGGAGTTAAGGTCATATCCTAGCCGGGTATAACTTGTAGTGAATAAAAAGCACAGGCATATTACCCTACCCTAATGAAGCCAAAACAGGTAGATGGTAGTATGATGCTTGGTAATCCGGGAGATTCAATATGTAAAGGATAGAGGTGTATCAAATTCCTTAATTGCACTATCACAGCAATGAAAGCAGGGCTATTTATCTCTGACTCTCTAGTAGACAGGTAGTGAATGAGCTGGTTAGTCTAGTTATTTTCTATCAAAAATTTTCACTTGAGGAAGGGAACCAGTAAATCCAGGTAGTGAAGGTGAATTTGAGTGCGAATTACATGTATCTATGGATATCACTTCTCAAACGTCATTTCTTGTATCTAATATGAACATCTACCATGGATCTAGATGCCCGGCAAGATCAGGGCTTAGGGCATAGGGTCAGGGCTGCTACACGTCACGATACAATTCCTCGTAGATTTCTTCGTCTTCGCCTTCGGCACTTCACCACATCAGAATTGATCATTCGATTACTAGTTCCAGCTCCTCCGTCATTTGACATGATTATCAAGCAGATTGAGCAGTCACCAGATTACTATACAGCCTGACAGTGAACCAGGGACAGTCATGTACTGGCATTATCTCGTTGACAAGCCATAAACGTCTGAATTCACTCGACTGACTCGAAAATAAATAAAAAAATAAATTTCTAAGCTTATAATAAATGTCAATTCCAGAGTGAGGGTGGTCCAGTCTACTTCTAGAAATATGAGCTTTATACCGTACGCTATATATTCATTTGCTACTGTTGAATCTTTGCCATGCTCTGGCAGAAAGGAAATAAAAAGAAAATAAAAAGAAAAAGAAATGATGATACGATACAAAGTAGATAGATTATTCCACATGTAGTTGGTTAATTAGTAAACAAGTCTCATCCTTCCTCGTGATTAGCTAGAATTAATCATTCTTTTTCCAGAGTATGGAGGAGCTTAATTTACTCCTAAAAAAAATTCCCGCATATCGCTATATTCTGGATTTTTCCGCCAAGGATCCATCTGCCGTGTGTTCAGGCCTTCAGGATTTAGTATTTCTTTTTTTGGGTCGTGTTGATCTGTCAGAATATAGAACTAATTAACGGCCTCTCCGATGGGGGTTGGAAATCCGCGTTTTTTTTTTTATCTTTTAATTTTCGATTGAGGTTCTTCTAGAAAGTACAGATTTTACAGAGAATTTTTACTTATTTTTTGACACTCACTCAGTTAGTCTTATCTTACACCTGATTTTTTATTTCCTGGTTTGTTTTCTGGAACAGAGAGCTGTCATCGAGCACGCGACATTCGCCCCACTTGTTCTTATTCACTCTCTCCATAGAAAATAATCCTGCCAACCTGTCATGCAAGATTTAGGGACTCGATCTAGCCAGGCGAGCGACATGTTTGGCCCCCAAGATCTCACCGGCGACAGTCTGGACTGGACTGTTCCGTTTGCGGCGATCACGCAATTGCGGGCCGCGCTATCATCAGGTAGCATCGCATGGCATCGTGCAACCTGCGTCGTACAAATAAATTCCAGACGGTGGCCAAGATGTCGCTCTCCAGATAATAATTGCAAAATTTTTCTCCGCGCTCTGGAGCAAGATGGCCGCGTCGAAAGACGAACCTTGGGTCGAGTCCAAGAAGGCAGAGCCGCTGCCCGGGAGCAGAGATGATGAAGTCCAGCCAGATTCCGTGGGAGTCGGCGAGCTCGCCTTTGAGGAATACACCCAGGGAGGGCTGGGCCGACATCTGGGCCTGTTCTCAACGACGTTTTTGATGTATGCCCCTTGCGTGTTATCACATCGCTCTCTAGGATGCATGTGCTGACTTAGTGTAATGGCGACAGTGTCGGCCGTATCATCGGCACAGGCATCTTTTCCACCCCGTCGTCCATCACCCAGAGCGTCGGCAGCGTCGGTGCCTCGCTGATGCTCTGGGTCCTGGGTCTGCTGCTGGCGGCCGCCGGATTGTGCGTCTGGCTCGAGTTTGGGTGTATGATCCCCCGCAGCGGAGGCGAGAAGGTCTATCTCGAGGCCGTCTACAAGCGTCCGAAGCTGTTGATCACGGTCTTCTTCGCCGTCCAGGCCATTGCGCTGGGCTTCACAGCCTCTGGGTGCGTCGTCTTCGCGTCCAACATCCTCGTCGCGGCCAATCGCAAGGCCACCGAATGGGAAGAACGCGGCATCGCGATCGCGGTCATCGTCAGCGTGACGCTGCTCCACACCTTCCTGCCCAACTGGGGTGTTCGCTGGATGAACGGCATTGGAGTGATCAAGATCATCACCCTGCTGTTTATCGTCGTGACCGGCTGGGTGATCCTGGGCGGCGGCGTGTCGAGAGTGCCCGATCCTCACGCCAGCTTCCGCAACGCTTTTGCGGGTTCGGCGCACTCGAGCAACTTGTACGCGACGGCGCTGTTCAAAGTCATGAATTCTTATGCTGGGTAAGTCTCAATCCACTGATGTTAGCGACCATGCTGACCAGTCCAGCTGGTCCAATGCCTGTTACGTCCTGAACGAAGTCAAGAATCCGGTGCGCACGTTGAAGATCGCAGGCCCGCTCGGCTTGCTGATCTGCGGAGTGCTGTACTTGCTGGCCAACGTGGCCTACTATGCGGCTGCTACGCCGCAAGAAGTCGCCGAGAGCGGAGTGACGGTGGCTGCGTACTTCATGGGCAAGGTGTTTGGAACCGCGGCCCAGCAGGCGCTGAGGTAAGACAGTCTACTTACGTCCCCTTCTCTGGGAGTTTTCTGACAAGCTTCTCTTCTAGCGTCCTCGTGGCCATCTCCTCTCTCGGAAACGTCATGACAGTGACTTTCGCGCAGGCACGCGTGAACCAGGAACTGGCGAAAGAAGGCGTGATTCCCTTCCCTCGCTTCTGGGCATCGAGCTGGCCGTTCGGGTCGCCGTCTGCCGGCCTTCTGCTTCACTTCATCCCGTCGTTCATCGTCATCGTCGCCATCCCGTTTGGCGATGCGTACAACTTCATCCTCGACCTGGAGGGCTACCCGGGGAGTGTCATCAACTTTCTCGTCGTGCTGGGTCTGTTCTATCTGCGGTGGAAGGCTCCCAACCTGAGACGGCCGTTCAAGGTGTGGTGGCCCATCGCGGCGTTCTTCATGATCGCGCAGGCCTTCCAGCTGGTGGCGCCGTTCCTGCGTCCACCGGGTGGGAAGGGCGACACGTCCCTGCCATACTGGCTGTATGCCGTGGTGGGCATTGGAGTGTTGGCGGCGTCGGTGGTGTACTGGTTTATCTGGTACGTGGCGGCGCCATGGATAGGGGGGTATAAGCTGGTGCCCACTCGTGAGCAGCTGAGCGATGGGACGAATCTGGTGGTATACCGGCGGGTCCGAAAGGATCAGTAGTGATAAAGGATATAGTAATACTAGTACATGTAATCTTCGCGATTATAATCAGTTAGACGAGACTTAGCTTAATCGAGGATTAATCGAACGACTGCCATAGGCATCGGATTGACGGTCCATAAGCACTTCCAATGAATTATAAGCTCAGCTTGCTGGCGATTGATTCTCAGTCAATTATACCAAGTCCAGCGTCGTCGACTAGTCTATTCTCTATTCATTAGGACAACATCCTTCCCCTTCTAGTCTGACACATACTATACCAGTTATATACACTAACACCTCACATACACTCACAATCACACCAACTCTTGGGTTATGGGTTATATGTCTACCTCCCAACCGCCTTATTAGCAATCGCCTCCGCCGCCAACCCCATATTCGCCATGCCACTCCTCAGATCGCCCTCGACAAGCATGTACGTCGCCCCGACGACCTCGAGATCATTCCTGTCCATGAACTGCTGCGTGTTGAACTTCCATCGGTCGATCATGTCCTGCGACGGATAGCCCAGCTCGCCGGGCAGCCCTTCGTAGTGGGCGCGCATGCTGTCGACGTCGAATTTGGCCGGAGGATCCTCGTTGCGGTGCTGGCAGAGGATGAACGTGTAGCGGGAGGGATGGGGTTTGCCTCTGCATCAGAGTCAGCTTAACTATATATATACTGGTAGGTTGATAGCGTACCCCATGAAATGCCCCGGTAAAGGCGCTGGTCCCACCCACGACGAAATGGTCGTGTTCTTCGAGTCTATCACCTCGCCCGAATGACTGATGGCCGCTTTGGTGGTGAGCCAATGCCGGACTTGACCGAAGCGCGTGTCGTGGCGGCGTGTGAGGTCCTGGACTGTCAGCATTATTCACTCTTCAAGTCTTCCTGTGGAGATTCATACAGGATCAACCATCATCAGCGTATACAACGGCTTCGTCGTCTCCGTCGACACCGGCTAGCCGCTTGATGTCAGCCAGCTGCCTTCATCTCCAAAAATAGAACTTCCATATTCTGGGGGGTTATTTACAGGATCAACAAAAACAGTCGGCTTGTATTTTGTCGCATCCCGATCGATCATCTCGCCCGGTTTTTCGAGTCTGGCTGAGGGAAAAACGACCTTCAGATTGCATGGAACTTTTGTGTCTGGTGCCAGGACGTCTGGGATGATGTTTTCTGCTTCTAGGGCGGCTGTGACGTCCATTATAGCAGTACTAAGTTTCTGAGGATGTGCTGAGGAAGGGATTGATATTGATTTGTTGGATATTTATCTGGATTGTGTAGTATTTATTATATATGGAATATAATATGTTTATCGCCTGATCAGCCAAGGTGAGCCCGGTACGTACAGTACATACTTAGGTAGATACACACTTAGGTAAGTATGGAGTTTATTTATTTGACCGGTGATGTAATTCTGGCGTCGGCTCTGTTAACCGATGGACAGACAGAACGTTTATTTGATATCAGGTTGATAATTTATGGTTCTGGTTCCGTTGGAAGACGATTTCCTATCCAGTCAGCAGCTTCGTCAGCACGTATGTACATACATACCTAGGTAGATAAAGCTCAAATAGGCAGGATATATCTTTCTAGCTGAGTTGGGTAGGTAAATTTACTGTTGGAAGAACCTGCATAATATTGTGCTAGGCTACGTTATGTAAGTGTACTTCCTAGGCGGGTAAATTTACGTTATGCAAAATTTGGTGCAGTCTTGGCACCCCAAAACCTCAAAAAATTGCAACTTTTGTATCGGAAGCCCTCCAAACCACCAAAATACTGATTTTTCTCACCAAATCCCATCGATTTTTTACTGAATTTGTCATATCTGAGGTTCTTCTGACTTTCTAATTAGGAAATTATAGCCTATGTCTGTGCCGATATCGAGATTACCCCCGTATCGCAGAAAAAATGGCATCCGAGGCGACCAACTCTCCAGAATCCTCTGCACCCCAACCTCCAGCAAACGAAGCAATCCCCGGAGCTTATAGATACCCCTCCTGAGCGTCCTCGTCGCCGTCTAACGCGTGGTTTGAGTCCTGTAAAGCGTGCTCAGATATTG